TATATATTGTGGGAAAAAAACGGCTGGATCTCGGTAGATCTCGGTACGTAAACAACCAGAAATAGAGCCAGAGCTTTTGGACAACACTAGTCCTTCCTCAGTGGAGTGTGTGAGGGTAGAAAAGGTCAGATAGTATAAAGTGAGAATTTCATGCAAGCGTGATTAGAAACAATAGGCAAGGTGAGATGAGAATAAACAAAATTGCAGGCAGTATCATCTTACTATTAGGTAATTTTGTCGCCATTTTTTATTTGTCGGCCATCTTGGATATGAAGTCAACTTTTGGGTTGCCTTAAAGTTAACTTCAAATGTACATGTTTCAGGAAAAAAACAGGGAAAAATTATAGCAGAATTTACCGAATTAAGTTAATTCTGGCGGCCATTTTGGATTTTGGCGGCCATCTTGGATTTAAGACCAAATTCTGTGTGGCCCTCGATTCACCGTGAAAGGTTTATGTCCCAGATGACAAATCCCCTGAAAAAACATCGACATTTGGAACCAATAAATAAGCTGCAAATCTGGAATTGTATTTTTTGCAGCCATTTTGAATTTTGGTGGCCATTTTAGATTGAGGCCAATTTCTGGGTGGCCCTCGATTGATCTTGAATGGTTTATGTACCAGGTGACAAATCAACTAAAAAGACATTGACATAACGGAATAATATGCTACATTTCTCTAATAATTGTGATTTTCGGTTTTCCATTTTGGATTTTGGCGACCATCTTGGATTTGAATTCTTGGTGGCCCTTGATTGATTTTGAAAGGCTTAGGTCTGAGGTGACAATTCCACTTAAAAAAGTTGACAACACCGAATAAATATGCTGTATATCTCTAATAATTTTAATTTTGGCGGCCATTTTGAATTTTGGAGGCCATCTTGGATTTGGGGTAAAATCTGGGTGGCCCCAAGTTTATTTCAAATAGTATGGGGTCAGGATGATAAAACCGCCGAGAAAACCTTGACCGGAAAGAATGGCAGTTTATCCTTATATGGGCCCTGTATAAATGCGCAACTTGGTTCTTTAGCTGCTCTATTATAGCAGTTAATTAGGGTCTTTGAATATTGTAAGGATTTAAGTGCTTAGGAAAATATTTATATTTGCGGTTGACATGTTATAACATTTGAGGTAAAAATTGGAAATTTTTACATTTGTAGGTGAAATGTTACTACATTTGTGGTTAAACAGATTTTTACATTTGTGGGAGATTTTTTTTACATTTGTGGTTATTTTTACATTTGTGGTTGACATGTTATGACATTTGCGGTTATTTTGACATTTGCGGGTTGAATGTTTTGACATTTGTGGTTATTTTTACATTTGTGGTAGATTTTTACATTTGTGGGCTCTACAGGCTGCTCCCACTGAATATGCAAGGCTTTTTTTTATTTTTAAAATTTGGGTTGTAGAGGCGGAGTCCAGTATCGTGAAACAGTCCTCATTGGCTGATTGTTTGCAATGACGTGAACTTTTCAGATGCTTTAATATATGCGAGTTCCCATCCAGTGTTAGGTGCTCACGCATGCTTGTATAGAAATGTCGGCTTGTTTCGCCATAATAACAAGCATTACAACCTGCACATACAAATTTGTAAACGACACGCGAACGGAGACCAACTGGGATGGGATCTTTAGCTGAAAACAAACTTTTAATTTTAAATGAGGAAAATACAATTTTTAAATATAAGTCATAACAGAATTCATTCGATAAGGCACGGATTTTCTTACTAAGGACTTTGGAAAATGTGCCGACATAAGGTAATTTGAAATAAAAAGTGATTGGTGTATTTTCTTTAGTATTATCCAGTGTACTTTTGCATTTACATTGAACTGAATTAACATAACGAAAAATTATTTGATCAATGAGGTATGAAGGAAAACAATTTCTCTTAAGGATGGTAGTTAATGCCTTGGTATCATAATGAAAGCCCCTCCAACTATTATTGATTTTAAAAGCCCTATCAACTAACGTGCGAATAAGACCGGTTTTGTAACTGAACGAACAAAAACTGAAAAAATAAAGAAGAGGATGCTCTTTTATTTTTTGATTACCTCAACTCAGGCCATCCCAACATTAAATTCGAAACATGTCTTATTGGGGCCGTTAAGGCCATAACTTATTGGATTAAATACAGGCTTTGCCCATGATGAAGATACGATCTGTTGTGTTGTTTTTGAAAATTATTAGCTGTCTGCTGTTCGATCGTTCTTTTGGCAATAATAATAATAATATTAATAATAGTAATAATAATAATGATAATGATGTAATAATAATTCTCCAGTGTTCAAAACGTTTGTAAAATAGTTTGCTTTTAATTTTATATTGCTTTTCCCAGATTGGACTGCAACAGACTACAGACAAGAAATCAAAGATAGTAACATTGTTCTACCACTAGCCTTACAATACCTAACCCCACAGGTTGTATCTATCATCGGCCTGGGAGCCATTTGTGCTGCTGTAATGTCGTCAGCAGATTCAACTATTCTCTCTGCAAGTTGCATGTTCGCTCGAAATATATACAAAGGTCTGATAAGACATAATGTAGGTTGGTTTTTTTTTTTATTAATAAATTATGGATTTTTTCTTAGTTTTGTGTTCTGTTACACATATATCACAAAGTAATATTCAATTCCATGCTTGTACAATAGTCATGGAGCAAAAGCCTATTTACTTTACAACCAACCAGATGTTTAGTTGGTATGTTTGGAAATATTGTAATTTTTGTGCTGAAAGAAGTAATACTAAATGAAATACCAAATGAACAGTAAGTATTCTCTCCTAGAATTTCACCAAGTATGATCCAGTCGTTGAAAAAAAGAAAGACTGAAATTATTTTCTTCCCGAGAAATTGCCTTATACTGGATTAAAATGGAACCTTTCTTCAACACTATCACAACCTATTAAGGAAATCATGTGCTACCCTGAACGGCCTGCTGCCGTATTGGAAAATGCAGACCACTCTATAGAGGCCTAGGTTTGTACACGTTTTCTCCAAAATGAAATCAGGAGATCCAACAGCCCGATGCCTCAACTATCATAAAAGAAAAACAGCCAGAAAGAATTTTCGTTTTGTTTGGTTTCATCACCATAAAAATCAATGTAATTTTACAATGACTGCTCCCTAGTTATACGCAATTGAAATATAATTAATTGTAAGTAGCATTAATTTGATAAAAACAATTGGTTAGCTTTCATATTATGCGATCAATACGTCTGTGTTTGGCCATTGTCTCTTTGAAGTATACAACAAATATTGATATCCAGTTCCATTTAAACGACATGTGAGAGTAAAAAATCGTCTGTAAAATTCATTATTTCCCTCAATTAAGCTGAAATATGAAATTACGTGCACATCGTGAGCTGAAGACTTTGATGATCAATGTTGTTACAGTCTTACAGACCGGTAGGTTTGAATCCCTGACGTTGTCTGACGTAATTATAATATAGATTAATTTATAGTTTTATTTATATATAGAATTTTAAAATCAAGTAAAAGATCTTTAGGTAATTTTATTTTTGGAATAAAATATTTAAGACATTGCCATTATAAGTCAATCGCAACGTCAACATTTTTATAGTCACGTAATTTTCATATTCATACATATACAACAAACCTCTTTACTTATATTGACAACCTGCGAATACATCATATGCAGTCGGTAACTGGATCATATGCAGTAGACTACCTGTATACCCAGAGACCATATGCAAAGCGAGTTTAAGCAATTGGACCGTGAAATAGAATTTAAAATATATATAGGCCTATATTGTGCGTGAATTGTGTGATTTTTTGGTAAATTATTCACACCTGACCAAAAACAGAAAAGACATTTTCTGAAGGTCCTCCAGCCACGGCACCAACTAATGATGATATACCTAATGACACTTGTCCAGATGCTGAAGGCAATGACAGCACCAGCATAAACTAATATAGAATGAGTGGGTTGTTATGGTTCTTTTTCAGATGTTGAAGTTCAGGATGATAAAAATTTTCTGTAGTGACGGAATAACCCGCGGAATAATAACGATCTGTACTGATTCATAATGAACATGTTTCGTTATTTTTAATTGTTATTGTACCGAAAATGTATTCAAGTAACATATGAAAACAACTCAAAATATATTTCGTAATCTATCCCATATAACATTTTGATGTTTACTTCGGAGATAAAGGGTGGTAAAACCGTTTTGATGACTTAAGTTGATATTTAAGAGATTGAAATGTGTCTGTAAACTATAACATTGTCATTTCTGAGCATTTAACATATCCTTAAAATGTTCCCACCTCAGCCCTAATTATGTTCTGAATCGATCTTTAGAATGAATGAATCACAAACGAATGAAGTGAACACGATATATGCCTAATTATAATTATGAATTTAATGATTTTATTTTTTCATAGGCAACCGAGAAAGAGATCGTATGGATGATGAGATTTTCAATTATCATCTTTGGATCCATTGCCACCATACTAGCAATTACCATAAACTCAATATACGGTCTCTATTATCTATGTTCTGACTTTGTATACGTTATCCTATTTCCCCAACTCGTCTCCGTTTTTTACATTGACTTCACAAACACCTATGGCTCATTTTTTGCTTATACCATCGGCCTGATATTACGACTTGGCGGCGGTGAACCACTGTTGAATCTCAAACCGTTCATAGAGTATCCATATTTCGACGACGGTGAACAGCTATTTCCGTTCCGTACATTCTCCATGCTCATCTCATTCACGACACTGCTTCTAGTTTCTCGCCTGTTTCAATATCTATTTATTAGGAAAATTCTGGATAAAAAATGGGATGTTTTCAAGTGTGTGGTAAACATACAACACACGGAAGAGGAACAACTGAAAATGAAATGTAAACGTGTTGCTGCAGTGTAGATGGTAATAATTTAAATATATCTGATATTAAATCTTAATATCATATATTCTTATTATCTTTTTTTTTATGTGTATATTTATATATTCAGCATTACCGCAAAACAGCTTACGGTTTTTGCATCATTGTTTATTAGAAGTATATCTTCGAAAATAATATTCGTAGAAAACACTAGTGCCAAGCGTACGTGAAGACAGGCATCGAGCATCTCCATAAATATTACTATACTGTGAGGTGCTAAATAAATCGTCGTTGTTGCTATAATAATAATAATGATGATGATAATAATAATAATAATTATTATTATTATTATTATTATTATTATTATTATTGTTGTTGTTGTTGTTGTTGTTGTTGTTGTTGTTGTTGTTGTTATGCTGCAGATTACATGTGTTTTGTTGCTTCATTTTCTTCACTTAATTCAACGGGTTCCAAATGTTCTCAATTTATTTATTTTTTCACTTCATAATATAGAGCCTTTTTAATTTATATAGACATACACGTTTGTAGTTGGTGGTCTTCACATACGTACAGTTGTTTATTCTTTGTTCTGTTCAGTTTCTGTTTAATTTCAATTTCAATGTTTTATTTATTGTTGAGAAGGGTTTTCGAGGGGCGTTTATTTTATTGGTGTAAAATTGGTAAATATATACTCATATAAACGTCCCTTAATTTCACTTTAAATATGGAGTTACAACACATAGTTGCCGTCAAAGTATTTTAATGCGTGATTTTAACGACATATTGATCCCAACAAGGTTAGAAAAAGTGCAATTCTACTTGAGTAGAACATTAATAGAATAAGTATAGATTATGTTGCGTCCATTATATTTGTTAACGTAATTTCCAGGGTGGAAGCATTTATTCAAAGAAAAAATAAACGCCTTGCCTTTTATCGGAGGACTTTATACAAAAATGAGGCTCAGAGCGGCGTGTATATTCGAAGGTGCGTTCATTCGAACAAATGCGGTACACCAAAACAATGAAATTAGATTAAAACAAGTGAAATTGAAACATTGGCTATCATTTTAGTCATTACATTACAATAGAATATTAATAGACGTTTTATGACAACTTTAAATGAATAATATGATATTAGTTGTTCAAGTCAGACTGCTTTGTAAATGCACCATTATTTTTATTACCTGATTGTCAGATTATTTAACTTAGTATCATTTTACTTTACATTATTAATTTACTTTGAATTATTACAAAAAATAAATGTATTGGTATATTATAAAAATAAAGAGAAAAAGGCCTACCTTATTGTTTTTACTTGAGCATTAATTTATGGTGTGAGTCACTTATTAGAGAAGCTCTATAAAAATAATATAAAAACTTGAATGACAGATGGACATTTTATTTCAGTTAAGCATCAGAAACTTTATTCGAAATCCCTGCGTCTTCCCAAAAGTATTAGTGAATCTAAATAATTCCGAAATAAACTTAATTTCTTAATCACAATGGTAAAAAAAGATTACCATGAAAATATAAAGGTATATAGAAAATAATCAATTAAGAAAAAAGTGATACAAAGCAATGTGATAAGTCTTTGATAAATTGCAAAGGAACCTTACAGCGGCGTTGCTAGGTGAGAATGGGACCCCAGTGCAGGATTAATTGCCGGTCATTTGATGTGACGCGTCAGCCGAGGGGTGAGGGGGTGTATTAGGAGCCGTAAATTTGTTTTGCTGCGTGGTGGGGTTTTCTTGAAAGATCGGACGTTTCAAATTTTCAAGAGCCATGTTGAATCTAAAGAATGAAAATTTTACTAGGTATACTGATTCACATTTTCAGAAAATTCAACTTAAGAAGTGCATCTTTTTACCCCTACCCATTAATAGCCTATGCTAGTAATAAATATTACTGAAAATACTCGTAACTATTTCAAGCTGGGCATATGATGCCTCAGCAGCTGTTTTAAACCCCTGGTATTCAAATATTTTTGAAATGAAGCAATCTACTTGACGCTAAACTGCATTTCTGTTTTAAAACTTACCAAAAAAGTAAAGGATCAACATATAGAAAAAAGAACCTATCAACTTAAAATGGAGAACTTTTTATTGATATATAAATTAACATTCAGTCAATTGATAGCACCCGTAGTTGCTCGACGAGCAGGGGATCCAGTGGAGAACTCAGACTTTAGAATTTTGAAATGCACTGATAATCGAATGTTGGGTCTCACAAACTATTTATTCACCACTTGCTTTTGATGAACACCAACTGCATTTTCACATAAAAAGAGCTATCAGATAACTTTAATTGACATAACAAGCATGGAGTATAAAAATACTTTATTTTATATGATGTCCAGCGACTCTACAAAATATTTTGACGCCCTAAATTGGGTCGCAACCCATAGATTAAACAAAAACATTTAACTGTTAAAAGTCCTTGGTTTGACTACCAAGGCATTAGGTGTTTTATTCAAGAACTGGGTACTAATGCGAAGAGCACAGAGGCTTTGTTGGCATAATGCGCTTTAAAATACAAATTTTCAATTTTAGTACCAACTTGCATGTGTCAGACACGGACTCTTACTGCCACTAAAATACGAGACTATCAAATATATTTGATAAACAAACAGGCTTTCAGTACTAAATTTTCTATTGTAAATAAACGTCCGATTATCCAACAAATCTTGGCGACGCTATTTTGAGTGGCGACCCATAATTTAAATACCAGGTTTCTAAGCTAATTAGGAAAATTGGTGACAGGTAAAATTAAACAATGCAGTAGCGAATGGAATTCGAAATAAAGGGCCCATGGAAAAACTTTGACAGATGAAGATATAAGAAAATTTGTGATCATATCACCTCTAGGTGGCCAGAAATTGCACTCTCAGACTTATATTTGAATATAGTTTTCTTTTTTCCCCAATTATTTTTATAATTTTAAAAAATGTAGGAGGCCTGGGCCGGCTGCTACCCCCTTGAATTCGCCACTGTATTGACATGAACAAATAATCAATACTCCTCCAAAAACCTAATAATATTGAGGAGACCACTGGGTTTTTTTTGTTTTTTTTTTTTTGTTTTTTTTTTTTTTTTGTTTTTTTTTTTAGGTATTAAGATGGAAATTATTTTGAATTATTATTTTTTGGCATATCTATGAATGGACCCTCAATAGCTTTGGGACCCAGTGATTTGCACTGGCAGCACTGCCCATTCCTACGCTACTGAAACCTTGGCAAATGACCAAAATGCAATTGCAAACCATTTTAATAATTTTTTCGTTGATATTGGACCTACCCTTTCTAACAACATTTTATTTGAAATCTTAACTTCCTCACCCATTCTTTAATTCTTTTTCCTTAAACCAGTGTCCACAGATGAGATCATTGTAAAGCACCAGGTATTGATGATATTTACACCTCATACTTCACTTGGCCTTTATCAAAATATGATATTAACAGCAGTGTGTTCCAATCAAATCCATATTCCCTTCCACAAAACAATATTTTTTCAACATAATATTCAGTTCACTGGTCCTAAACTTTGGAATAATTTACTCGATTTAATCAAAAATTCCCTAACAAAAAAAAGTTTATATAGTATTAGAGTGTTACGTCACGATAACACGTGCTACTACTCCGTTGCTATCAGCGACACAAAATGCGTTCAACCGACGTCATTTTCTTTACTGACAAGTCATTGATCCCAATTTCAAACGTAATTATTAAGTTGTATCTTAGTTTTTCTTTGTAAGTGTTTAATTGATGATTAAATGTGTGTTCGATAACTAATATAGTGCGAGTTTTTTGTGTTTTTATTAAATTTCGATGGTAAATTATAAGGTTTTAAAATGCATATTCCAGATTCCTATTCCAGGCCTAGTCACTCGTTTAGACCTAGCCTAGGCTAGACCTCGGCTAGGCTTATGCCTACTATGTTACTTAAAATATACAATTTTAATTGATAAGATTAATTTTACATGGATATAGTAACTCATAACATCTACAGCCTATATTCTAAACTATTAAAATTATGAAGTCATTCAGGCGTAATGAACGGTAACCAACGTCCAGAGGGCGCCACCTGGTGTTGTGACGACACGACTGTGTACTCTATAGACTGTGGAAACACCTACTGTCAAATTACGTTTAATTAATTGGTTATGTGTATCTACACCCGAATCATCTAACTTGGACTTACCACACACGCTTTCTTTACAGCCTTTTTGGTGCGTTCAATTTGTATTTGTTCGTTGTTTCTTTTTTCTTTGTTATTTGTTACCTTGTCTTCCTGTGTCTTGTATTGTGTCATATTATTATTTTTTTCTTTCATTTTTTAGCTGCCCTTCACAAACATGACTTTTTTGAGATTTACTCGTCCTATGTTATACTTGTATGCTACTTTCATTTGCATTTGAAAAGTAAGAGAAATAAATGTCACAATTGAATTGAAAAAATAATCATAGATTTTACCTGTTTTACTGACAACAACATAGGCCTACCAATCTTTCATGAAATCATAGATCTTACCTGTTTAGCTGGCGATGATATACCAATCATGACTGATAGTAAAGACGATGAAACCTTAATTCTTACATGTTTTGCTGCTGACGACGACTTACCAATCTTGGGTGTTAATGACGATGATGAAGTCCCTAACATAAATGCAGCCAGTTTCTCCGAGAGAGTTTTATTCAATGAAACTAAAATTATTTACAATAACCATTTTGTCAAAGCAGATTGTAGCATTTACTTGTCAGTCAGCACAGAAACCATTTACGAAAATTTTAGGGGCAGAAAATTAACTTTAATATTAATTATTTATTAATTTATTTAATAAGATTCGTAATGTAATTAAAATTTAATTTAATTTTTTATGTATTATATTTTTACTTGTGTAATTATGTATACTTTTTTTGTCTTTACTGTGATCCTCCCAAATTTACTTCTCATTCATACATCAATATTACATTTACATGTCAAAACATTTCATATGACAAATATAATAGTCATTATTGACATCGTAATTATCAAAGAATGTTAATATTCCTTGAATATGCAATACGTTGATTTGTTTTATTTTTTTTTAACAACAGTATATGTAGTACAATAATCATAGGCATACACGTTTTCCGTTTAATTTAATCATGATTTGTATATTTTCTGTTTTCATGAATATCATATAATCATTTTTATTTACTTGCGTAAACATAAATGTACATTTTTCTTCTCATTCTTCTTCATCTGTTGTAGGGTTCCACTATATATTCCTATGACATCATCATTGTTATTATATGTATAGTGTTCCGTAACAGATCTGGTCATTATCAATAATTATATAATATAATTGTACGGTGCATAACACCAATTATTAATCTTATCATACCTTTCTTTTTTTTTAAATATAATTATTTTTGTTATTATATAAAACAATATACAAATAAAGTATAATTCCTGTACCAACATACAATAGATTTCGATAATATTATCGAAACAATCCAACTTGCATATCATATTTTCACATATAATGACGCATATATTCGCTTCTCCATCTTAATTTAAATGCCATTACAGTAGCTTTCTTCTTCTTTTTTTTTTTTTTTTGTAAGTATTTTTTTTCATAATATAAAGTACTGGTAAACAAATAAGTATATTTACTATATGAAAATACAAGTGATTTTGATAACATAATACAATTCAACTTGCATGTCATTTTTCTTTTTCTCTTTTTCACTTATATAATAACACATTACATTCGTGTCTCCATCGCAATTCTGCAAATACCATTCTTCGCAAAGGTACGATTCGTTTTTCTTTTTTTAGGTTTAGGGTTTTCAAAAATTTTCTTTGTATGAAATGTAAAGGTACATATAGTAATTATGTAATTAAACCATGCATTTTTTGTGCCTAAAAATGTTTTTACAAGAAAGTTGTACAAAATTTAAAAACTTTTATGATAATTATGTAAACTTCATTTATTTTTTATTATGTGCGGTAATGAGTGCTTGTAAAATAAATATTCTTGAAAAAATTGAATTTTACGTTCTCATTTAAATTGTGTTTTTTGCGAAATGTTCATTAGAGCGAGTGAGATAAATGAGAATGATGAAAAATTGACATATATGAAACATGCAACATAGCTAAATTAAAAATGCGTATTTACTTTAACAGAAAATAGAATGAAACCAGAATAGAAACACTTTAATGCAACATTCACGAAAAACCCCAGTCAAATTTGGAGAATATTAATTGGAATAAAATATATTGGAAAGTAACCATTGAAACAAAATTTAAATT